TTATTATTATTTTGTATGAATTATGGAACCTTAGACTTGGGAATCACTTGATAGGATTTTAATGGAACTTCCAAAACAGCATCAGTAGAAGCAAACCTGCCATGGATTAACTTTTGCAGTCAACCCAATTCAACTTCGCCATTATCATTAATGTTTAACAAACATAAATTAACTGTTACACAGTTTTACAGATATTGAGGTACATTTTATTTTTTGTAGTAGCATTCACAACGCATAATTAATACTATCCAGATATTACAAACAGTCTGACTTCTAAAAGACTTCATTTTGGGTCTAGATCTAGACCAGGGATAATCAATCCTGGTCCTCGAGGTCTGCCCTGCATGTTTTACTGTTTTCCTTTCTCTAAYRCACCTGATTCAGTCAGAGAATTACCTCTGCCAAGTTCTGAAGAAGCCTGATAATCATCCATTCATTCAAACCAGGTGTGTTGGAGCAGAGAAACAAGTAATGCATGCAGAGCTGCAGACCTCAAAGACTGTAATTGACTATCCCTGATCTAGACTGTTGTCTGCCATTTTTGGACCCGTACTTGAGACCATTGCTTTTTAAAAATTTTTTGTTGATGCATTTTATTCCTTCACTTAGGTTCCTAACAGAGCAAAGTAGGCAAATGTGACTTTGTTCTAACAAAGCAACATGGTATCAAAATAATCCTGATGCTTTCTTTAAAATCAGAGGAATACTTTCACTTTATCACCTTTAAAATCTTTGTCAGATGAACTCTCTGACTCATTTTTTTTTTCCATTTTGCGCATTTGTATTTTTCGAGGAAGTTTTTCCCATATTTGTGTTGCGAGTCCAGCCTGTCAAAARCGATTCTGAGCCTCAAATACATGAAAAGTTGCCATGATCTTAAGCAGGTTTTTGTTCTCCTCAGAAGTGGTGAGTCACATTGCATTTGGCAACACCTCTCACTTGCCCAGAGTTTACAGTCTGTTTCCCAATAGAGGAGAGAATGACAGCATGCAGCATGTGACAGCTTATCAAAAAGCAGACCCACGTCTCCTCTTTCCCATATGTAGGGCTCTTGTCAGTTCAGTCCTCCTCGGCATCATAAATCTTATAGGAGGAACGCTCGTCTTTTCACCGCATTTTATGGAACACAGAATGCCTACGAGCATCAACACCAGAACGCAGTGAAACTGAAATAACAAACACTTTCTAATCTCAGAGAGAATCCAGGCTACAGATAAAGATCAATATTTTCTTATTAAGTATATCCCTTTTTCACTGCGGCAGCGACGCAGTCAATATTTACTCTTCGAGGTGATTATCTACCCTAACAGCCTCCACAAGATCCTGAACGTGCCTTGAACTTTTCTAAATAAATGTGACATCTTTAAAAGAAAACTAAAGACCTGAAAATTATTTTTGGCTTTTCTCGGATTTTCCCTCGTGACCTTAAAAAAACACCCAAAACAAACAAACAAACAAAACAAAACACAAAAAAGCGCACTCACTCATCCAGGCATGTTGTCTTTTCATCATTAAACTGCCTTTCGAAGGCYCCTGAGAGGCTTCCTGACGCCTCGCCTCCTGAAACACCAAGTGGCGTCAGACTCTGCTGGGAGGTGCAGATTAGAGTCACGGGCCTGATCTGAAAAGATCCTTAAAAAATCACGATCCTTGTCGTTCACAAATAGCGGTTTTGCCGTTTTTTTCCCCCCGTACGATAACGTGGTGGTACCTGAGGTTTGAAGTGTACAGATGTTTGACCTTGTTTCCTCACCCTCTCTGCTTCAATCATGTGCTTGCAGATCAAAGACGCTGCCCCAGGTGGTCCTACGAGTAAAGATCTGTACTTAAAGGAAGCCGACAGAGGTAAGTTATTAAACCTCACTGCTCTTCGCTCAACATCCACGGTCTCCTTGACCACCCTTCTAAAATTCCTCTTTTGTTTTTGTTCCCACTAAAACCATAAAATGAAATTACATTAGAAGATTTAAACTTTGCCCACACGTGTGCGTGTTAATTTAATTTCTCGAATCAGGTTAATCTTTCTAAATGTGCCAAAAAAAGCATTTGTGCCCTTAACAGAAGCACTGAGGCCACAGCCCRGCAGTGTTATTTATTTTATTTTGTTTTTAATGAACATATTCCCAGTAGATCTAAAGCTAATGTGTGTGTTTGAACTGTGGTTAGCTGAAATTAAAATGGCTCACCTGAAGAAGCCCCGCTTGCAAATTCGGTTCAAAAGAAAAATCTGTTCTTTATTACTTTTCTGGTTAATATTTGTTTAATGTATTTTTCGTTTTTGGGTGGGAATGGACTTTTCAGATTAGACATGACCAGTAAATAACTTTCCTGCAACAGACAATTGGAAGAATGACAATTTTCATGTCTAAGTTGCTTTATCTCTGTTTTGAGCAGTGGTGGGCACAGTTAACCAAAAAGTTAGCTTTACTAACCATTAATCCGCTAAACAGATTAAAATAAATTTAGTGGAAGCTAATGCTAACCGCTAAGATGACTGTCACTCAGCCTGTGTYACTGACACAAACCTGTTGTTAGTCTTGTATTAGTTTAACATGAAGCTGGGTGTGATCATCTGTGGCACGTCAGCCAATCCAAACCATTTACTGTATATTTGAATAAAAACATTTCTTTGATTGCATTTGTATTTTTAGAGATACTGTTTGAAGTTAGTCTAACAAAAAAATAACAAATATTTTCTCTATGAAATTTTATGTGTAGTCAGTTTTTGCATTTGGTATTTAAATATTGTTAAACATTTTATTTATTTTTGCTGAATTAGAAATTTAGCTGCTAAAGGTGCTACATGCTACACAAACATTGGCTGACACATCCAGCTTTGCTTAAGAGGTGATAGTTTTTATTTAATTCTGGATAAATGGCATAAAAATCAAACACTTATGAATTTCTTAGTGGTCTTAAAATTAGCGGAACCTAATTTAATGGAAGCTAATCGATTTGCTAACGGTTTAGCTTGCTAAATGAGAATCTAGCTCGATTATTAGCGGATTAGCGGAACTAACCCATTTCTGTTTTGGGGTATTCTGATTGCAAGTGGTCTGCACCTTCTCTTCTTTAAATGTTTACACCAGTGGTCCTCAAACTACGGCCACGCCTCCCCGTTTGGTCCGGCCCCAAGAACAATACCAGAGAGCATTTAGTTTTTTTTTTCATAAATGTGTATTTG